CTATGGGTGTGAGGCTTGGTGGCAGCAGTTGTATATTGGGCACTTCAAGTTGTCTGTGGTTCAGATGTCACGGATGTAACGGGGCTGACCAAGCTGTCCAGTGGCAGGTAGTCAACGTTCAGGGCATAATGCAAGTGGACAACGGGTGACTGACTTTGAAGAAAATCTGTGGTGTGAAAGAGAAGTGACGGCCAAGTGTCACAGTGTGGGTGCAAAAATTGAGCCCTGATTTTGTGTCACATGGCTCATGTGGTGGTTTTATGTGTTGTGTTATACAATTCATGAAGTTTGCAGACATTTTGGAGGAACATAATTGCCTGTTGAAGAAGAAACATCTTTACTCCTGCGCAACTTGGAGTTGAGGGGTCAGCTGCAGGCCCTAACCAAACTTACCCTGAGAAGAGAGCTTTTGGTAAGAAGTGAAAGGCCAAATGGGTTACGCCTCTGGAGGGAATGAAACTGGTTGTCCAGCTTGTGACTGAGCTACATATTGTGGTATCTGGCATTGTAGTGTTTATGTATCTGTTATGTGTATCCTGAGATTTCATTCTATCCCCTGAATTATTGGTATTGTGTTGGCTTACATGTTTACCGCGAAGTCTGCGTTTGTCCCTCTTGCAGGAGTCAAATGAATTCACCAATTTTCATGGACAGTTAGCCATTAGGCGTGGCGCGTATCTTGTACTTCTCAACCTTTTACAACTGATGAAGTTGAAAACTCGCAACTTGTGGGGTAATTAGTTTTAACAGATTATTGAAACCACTGCAATTTTCATCTGGTAAAAAGCTAACTGGCTGGGACATATTATGAGAAGGAATGGATTACTGAGTGATATCACCGAAGGCCAGGTTGAAGGAAAGAGAGGACTAGGAAGAAGAAGTTTAATATGGAGATAAATCTTAAACATATCGTCTACATCATTACATTAATTTTAGGATACTTACTTTTTTGACAATAGTATTTCTTAGTTGTTTAATGGAAACTGATTTATGTTGCACATTCATCAAACATAGTCTTGAATTATTTTGGTGTTGCCCAATTATATTATTACTATCCTTACTATATGGACGTGATGTTAGCATTCATCATTCTGCAGTAGGTGTTGTAAAGCGATATTTATATTGATATTTTAATTTGTTGTTTGCGTAGTTAGAGAATATTAGTATTTGAACTACACAGTGGCCTGAAAGAGGGCTGAGAGTTAATTTAATGGTTTTAATAGGTCTCTTGTTGAAGTGCTGTGATGGTACATTGAATGAGGTAATCGTTTCCACTTTCATAGGGACTGGCCATTTTGTCATAAAATTCCATATATATGTATTTGAAGCAACTGAAAATGTTAAATGAGAAAAAGTAATTACTGAAGAACCCACAGACCAGCAAAGTTTTAATCAAAAAGTGACACAACCGTGTTGAGTAAATCATCAGTTTCATGATTGAACATCAAGAAATATAATTCATAGATTGTTTTATGTGGCTAAGAGTAACTGACGATGTCTCTTGCTGTGACTAGCATGATTTGTGCTAATTTGAATTGCATGATGCAGAATTGTTGGTTGTGTGTAGGTAGATCATGTGTGAACATAAATTACGAATGTGCCATTTGCTATTGATAAACTGAAACAATATTTATATTTCTGCAGTTTTGTGTACTCTGAAATTTGTGCTAGAATGTATTTATTGAAATTCTGAAGAAATTGTTTTGTGGGGGGGGGCTTGAAGTACTCTCATACTTGAGCATCGAAGTGCATGTCGTTGCGCTTCTGGAACGTGTTGGGCACTTTGTGCGGATGAGTTTGTTTTGGAAAGATGTCGCCGTGATCCTGCACACGGGTATTGCGATTAGTGCACATTAATCCGTGCGTATGCTACGTTCAGCGCGATACACGTTACCTTTGCGATAAGAAGCGTTTGTATTTGATTTTGAAAACTGCCATTGTTTCAGCTGCCAGTTGTGCGTTCTGGTGAAGAGATATCTTATATCCCAAGAAGACAGTGTGATGTTGCTGTTTCAACTTGCTCCATGAAGAATATGAAGTTGAGCTGCTTCATTATGTTAAGCAATCGCTCATGTTCACTTTGTTCTTCATAAATGAAGATGGGTGATACGTGAATCAATTTGCTGTAACGGTCAAAATGACTTATGTACAAATATGTTCTCTGTAAGCTGAGGTGGGTGATATGTGACTGAATTTGGCGTAATACTAAAATGATGTATAAGTGTATTGTCTGTAATAATTTCCTGTATCTGGAATAACTTACTGATACTGGTGTTTCATGTTACAATGTGTATAAAGCAATGTAATGTGTTTTGCTTGTGTAAAAAGTTAGGAACTTGGCCCTGTATGCTGTATTTTAAAAAAATGGTGTTTCTGTTTTTATTTTGAAATGTGTGCGTCACTTATGTGCTGGTTTGTACTGCTACTTGTGAAAATTTGTGTAGCCAACAGTGAGATTAAATATTGCTGATGTTTTGATGTGTAATTCAGCACAAAATGAGATTGTCTGTATGTTAATCACAAGAATTTTGTAGTACCTTGATTGGCCAGGAATGTAAGAGTCTCATCCTGGAGGTGGCATAAATTAACTTCTTCTTTGTCATGATATTAGGCATTGAAGTGAGGGAACCTGTGAGGCAGTACGTATGTAAATGTTTCAGTGATTCTAAGTATGTAAATGTTTCTGTGATTCTAATTAGAGTCTGCAATGTACATGTGCTGCTGGGATTTGAGACGAAACTTTGAAATGTCTTGCACTGCCATTTTGAATTTCATGTTTAGTGTGGTGAGAGTTATGCAACCTGTCCTAAAGTTCTGTCCTTATGTTAGTGATGAATGACAACAATTGCTCACTTGAAGTGCACTGCATTTGATGATGTAAGGGAAGAAAAAGAAAGTGAATAAAAAATAAATGGGAAATGATGATGGATACACAGATTGGAATATTATGCAGAATGAATGGCATTAAGGAAGTTTGTTAACAAAGATGTAGTAGGCTGTAAACTGGTATGGCAATAAGTATGTAAACATGTTTTAGTGATTTTAATATGAGTCTGTAATGCGTATGCGCTGCTGGGATTTATTTGTTGTATGTTTAGTATTGTGCCAAT